GCATCTTCCCCTGAGTACACACCCCCAGTGCTGCATCTCCCTGCCCACTCCACACCAGATAATGCACTCTTTGGTTGGTCTGGTGGCTGCTTCCCCTCTGGGCACTTTCTTCACTGAAGGTCACCAAGCTCTGCAGCAGCACCTGCACCTCAGAGTGGCTCCCACCAGCAGCGCAAAGTAAACAGGGCCTCCTCTGGCTCTGTGAGGAGGCTTGGAGAGGCTCAGCCTGGCTCACACAGAGCTGGGGCCTCACTAGGCCTCACGCAGCCTCACCCCACCTGTTAATGGACACGGCCCCAGGCGTGAAGGCATCTGTTGGCCTCGGTGTCCTCTTGGGTTCCTCCTGGCACCTTTTCCTCTCCTAGCTTCAGGCTCCATGGTCTCCCCAAAAGCCAGGTCACAGGAAAACACTGGAAATGCATTCACATCATGCATAGATGGTCCTCAGTTCTTGCTCCCGCCGCTCAACCAAAGGGCTGTGGTTGTCAGTTGCCATTGAGCCGACTTGGACTCATGGCAACCCCATGTATGTAGAGTAGAGCTGCTCCATAGGGTTTTCAAGGCTGTGACCTTTTGGAAACAGATCACCAGGCCTGTCTTACAAGGCACCTCTGAGTGGGTTCCAACCTTCAACCTTTCTCCTAGTATTCCATTGCTTAACCGTTTGCGCCACCCAGGAATCCTCAACCAAAGGGTACTCACCTTTAAATGGTGAGCAAAGCCCCATGCCATGCAAGTGACTCTAATGGTGGGGCTGGGGGCTTCCCAGGACCCTGCGGTAGGACCACTGGCTGCTTGGCTCCAGATAGCACCTGTCCTTCCTGCCCCAGGATAGCAGAGTGACGGGATGGCGTCTCAGGGAGCCCAAGGGGCACAAACAGCACACGGGCTGCCCCAGAGACCCCAAGGTCAACGTGTTAGTGAGCCAGTGAGTGCTCTGGAAGATGCATGGAGACAGGCTGGAAATGCGCTTCTTCCCAGGGATAGTCTGGAGGCAGTGGGCAACCTCTGGCTGGGAAGGACAGTAGGGGTGATGTGGAATGGGAGAGGAAGACTGACCACACTGTGCCCCCTGTTTCCTCTCTGCCCCTAAGTCAGGTCGGGACCTAGAATGCGTCAGGAAGGGGGAAATGAGGCCAGCAACAGTTGGCTTAAGTCATTCATGCTCACTCGCTTCCAGATGGGATTTAAACTACCCCTAAAATAGATTCTCATTAGTACTTTTTCCTCCTCCTTTTTGGAAAAAAGAGGAATGGCTGCTGTAGACCAAAGTGCTCTGATAATTAAACTCATTAACACGAAACTCTACAGCTCATCGGCCCCATAATGGCACATTGAAAAAGTAGTTCTGGCTCTTTTTGGGAAAGGACTAAGATGGTACAGGTTTGAAAATCCTATCTGGTTTTAGAGAGAACAGGCAAATGAAAAATGGCACAACAGCCAAAAGGTAGAGACAACCTATGTGTCTATCACAGATGAACAGATAAACAAAATGTGGTACATACCTACAATGGAGTATTATTATTCAGTCATAAAACAAATGAAGTTCTGATACCTGCTACATTTTCAAGTCCCAACCTTGAAAACTAAATAAGTTGGACACTAAAGAACAAAAATTGTATGATCCCACTTACATGAAACATCTAGAATAGGTAAATACATATAGACAAAAGTTTATTAGTGGTTACCAGGGTCTGCTGGGAGAGGGAAATAGGGAGCTATTGCTTAATGGGTAGAAACCCTGGTGGTGTAGTTGTTAAGAGCTATGGCTGCTAACCAAAAGGTTGACAGTTTGAATCCACCAGGCGCTCCTTGGAAATTCTATGGGGCAGTTCTACTCTGCCCTATAGGGTCGCTATGAGTTGGAATCAACTCGATGGCAGTGGGTTTGGGTTTTCGTTTGTTTGTTTAATGGGTACTGAGCTTCTGTTTGGGGTGAAAAAAAGGTTTGGAAATGGACAGTGGTGATGGTTGTACAACATGGTGAATGCAATTAATGTCACTGAATTGTACATTTAAAAACGGTTTAAACGGCAAACTTTATGTTGCATATATTTTACCACAATAAAAAAAATGGCCCCGTTTTCTGATTCCAATTTCTGATTGGAGCCCTGGTGGCACAGTGGTTAAGAACCTGGCTGCTAACCAAAAGGTCAGCAATTTGAATCTACCAGCAGCTCCTTGGAAACCCTATGGGGCAGTTCTACTCTATCCTACAGGGTCGCTATGAGTTGGAATTAACTCCACAGCAATGGGTTTTGGTTTTTTTTTTTTCTTTTTTCCTTCTCATTCTGCCATTCGAAAGAAGCATGAGAGCTATGGAGCTTGACTTGAGGAGAGGTCGGTCTTCTGAATGCGTGGTCAGTGGGGACACTGCTACCTAAACTGCCCACGCTGTGTCGTACGTCTCGCAGCCAGCTTCTCGTGGCCTCTCTTACTCCCGCTATTTTAATTCGGAAGTGTGAAATAAAACATCAGTGTGTAACCTGGGGGCACCGCTGGCACTATCTCAGTGACTCAGATACCTACAAATCGAAATTCCTGCTTCTTGGCAGGACCCCAAGCCAGGCTGACTGACAGGGCCCAGAGACGGCCAGAGGAGTCTGCATCTGCCCTCCAAGAATGAACATGTATGTGATCATCCTACAGCTAACTTGATTTTTCTGGCATAAAGACTTATGAATATGATGTGCCTCACATATGTGATTTCAAATTAGGTTAGGGATGCAGCGCCTGTTTTAGGGATGTATAATTCAAATGGAGCAAGGACTTCCCTTAACAGAGGTCCTTCACCCCAGCTTTCACTCACTCCTCTTTCTTCCTGCAGTAGCTCCTCTCCAAATACGCCAACTCTGGTACAGCGTATTTATTCCTACAGGGAGCGTTATTACAAACGTATTTAATGAGAGTTGAGAAGAGACACTTCTTATGATATTATTACCTGGGGTGCTGCCCAGTGGGTGCCAGGAAGTCAGCAGAAGCAGGCAGCAGTTTGCTCTGATATCTCTCACTGCAGCAAGGGTGGGGATGCAGATGTTTGGAGCGGGGGGGCTGTACCATGTGAGAAAGAGGTTGTGGGAGACTGGCATGAGGGCTTTGTCCAATCAGCGGGACCCATGACTGTTTCAATTATGAGACACCCCCAACACAAAGCGGGATCCTCAGAGACTTGAATTTTTGCTTAGGCTGCACTTGGCTATGGGGAAAAACCTGATACTTACTAGATAGTTTTTTTCGCGCAGTCGCAGACTCAGGAAGGGCTCAGAACCACGGGCATGAAAAGGAATAAAACTGAAAATGGGATTAGCACATGTGGTCTCGGGGGGTGGCAGAGTTTTCCCTAGCTTGTCTCATACTGAACAATCCTAGGAAGGTGCATCCGTCTCCGGGTCTGGCGTGATTCTGGCCATGGAGCGTAACCTGAGCTGAGGCGGGTGAGCGTCAAGTAGGTGCCCCGAAGCTCCACCGTTCAGCTTCGGCTAAGCTGGCATCTTTCTCAGCCTCCCAGACAATGTAGTCTGCTCTCTGGTCAGATCATGAGGGCAAAACACACCACTAACTTGGGTAGCTTCTCTCCTCACAGCAATTCTCTTGCTAGAAATATGCTCATAGGTATGTTTTCCTCAGTACTCAAAATCAACTGAAAAGGCACTAAACGAAGTCAATAGCGTTATTCACAGGAACCCGACTTCCTAGGCAGGGACATCTGTCATTTTATAAATTTCTATTTTTATTTCTGGAATATATATGTCTAGTATTTGGGTTGGGAAAAAAACCCAAAAACCTGATTTAGAAAACCCAAAAGCCTCCCTTTGAAGCTTATAGCTTCCAGTACTTTCTTCAATAACACAAAGCAGTTCCCAAGCCTTGCCCCCACTACTACTGGCAATGGGAGAAGCGGGGAGGCATGAGCTCCCCGGTGCACTCTGGGGTCTAACCTTCCGAGGCTGTTAGGTCCCTGATTTGGGACACAAGCACTAGATGAAACTTACAGCTTAACAGACATTTGAATACATTCGAATAGCCTGAGTCATAGGAAAGAGGGAGACCATGGATATGTTACTACCACCCATCTTCCCCACCACTGCCACCAAGCTCCATCTGTGCGTTTTCCTTATTCCCCTTCTCATGGGACCTTTGATGTTGTTGTTGAGCTCACTTCAGATGTTGTCGTACGTAAAAACACAGTAGGGCGATGCCTACTGATTGCTTTCAGGTGATGTTTCCCTAGTGCTTTAGCTCAAACTGTAAACCTCTCAGCAAAAGAAACTGGGATTCTGGTATTTTATAAAGTTCTAAAAGCAAAGTAATATTTCTGAGAGACTATCAATAATGATAATTACTGGAGAGATTCCAGGCGTCATACTTCACTTATGAATGACTAGATAATATTTTCGTTCTGTTATACACAGGGTCGCTATGAGTCGCAACCAGCTGGATGGCACCTAACAACTACAGATAATATTTTCCCACCAAAGCTTGAAGTAGGAGATTTGAGTGGGGGACACAGGGTTGGGGGGTAGCTTAAAGAAACCAGTAGAAATAGGTGACAGAGCACACGGTCAGGTTAAGCACAAGCATTATCTTGCTAAAATGATTGTTCAATTGCATGTGAGTCTGTGTGTGGCCAGAGCCTCACCCAGGTTATTTCTCCGAGCAAAAATATTTGGCAAAAGCAAAAGTTCCTTCTCCGTGTGTGTAGGAGGGGCATTTCTGAAGTCCTGGGTTTGGAGCTTCTGAGAACTGTATCATCTACCCACTTACTCCTATGGCAGAATTTCTTCTCAATGTGTAAGGAAGAATGAGAGCAGGTCCACTGGCAAGATGCACCTCCATGTTTAAACGACCACAGTGCACAGCTTTCCCAGCACAAGGTGCTTCTCACAGACAACCACAGCAAATACAGTCAACAACAGGGCTAAGAACAAAGCAGATATGTCCATGGAATGAACCACTCTCAGACGGAGGCTGTCCAGCAAAAAATACTGCTTTATTGGCTGTATTTTCTAACTACAAAGATAGCTGACGCAAATATCAAATGTTTCCTTTTCATAGGACAGTCTACTAGAAATATTTCATGCAACTCCTAGGATGCTAAATACAGGGTGGGGGAATGGGTAGAACAGGCGGGAGGAACAGTCTGCCCGGTGGGGCAGTGAGCTATGTACAGTTAGCCATATATCTTCAGCTCCTCACAGTTATGTGCAAAAGTTACAAATATGGCTTTCAGGGTTTTGTTTCTTTCTGTGAGTTAAAAAAAAGAAAAAATAAGACATAGTCATACAGAAGAACATTTTAAAAATAATTCTTTCTGTGGGAAAGCTCTTTCTCGGTCATAACATTGCGTTTAATGACTTAGTAACTTACGCCACCACCCGAGGGTGTAGTTCAGGCATATTCCATAAGGGGGCATGAATTCCTAAGGCACAATTATTAGGTTAAACATGTTTTAATTAAACCATGCTTTTTGGTTATATGAAACAATAGGTCACTGCTAGTAATAATGTGTAATTAGCTGTTAATTGTACAAAATGCAACAGCAAAGACTACACTACTCTATCTCTTGACATAAACTAACTCGAAAACATACTATACATTGCTGCATATTTAAACATTGTTTTTGGTAATACTTTTCTTAGATGAAGCAGAGTTATAAGGCTTCTGTGAAGTAATAATCTTATAATCGAACAAATATATTACACTCCTTTTATAATGATATTTACAGTCCCTTGCCAATTTTGCCATTTGGTAACACACGTGTGTTTCGAATGCATCTGGCCTGGCTCTCTAAAGTGCTCGTATAACTGCATGAGGCGAGAACATGGAGACCTGTCAGAGGTATGGTGGACCCAGTGGGAGTAGCTGAAAAGTCAGGCTTGGAATCCTAGATGCATTTTCCAAAGTGGATGCTGGTTATTGCTAACTGTGAAGCCCTTCTGGGCAAAGACTGAAGATCACCACCCCTATTTATTATTTATATATAAATACATGCCTACATATGTATATACATGCAATCGCAAGATCTATCCTGCAACAGATAGATTTCTTTTTTTGTCCAATAACCTACCTTGTGCTAGTCAACTTACTTGTGCTATGTTTGAAGCCAGATTAAAAACAAAAATCCTAGCATGCTACTATCAACAATCCTGTGATTTTAGTAACACAGTGGGGAGAAGTATATTATGAGAGATTTGAGATGACAAATGGGAAGAGTTCTAAAATGCACTGAATAAGGCAACAACACTGTACACATCAGCCCAGGAGAAGGTGAGAAAAAGGAGAAAACTCATATTAGGTTTTTCTCACCACCCTTAGCTAGCCAGTATTCTTGTACTTTATACAAAGGAGAAAGCATCATAATGAAATGTTTTCATAGCTTTTGCTCCTACAAATACTCTCATGGTAGCAAATTCAATGACCAATTTGATGTCCTGATGCTATGACCTGGTTCAATAAGGCACTTCCAGTATTGAGATCCGGTGCCCCAAGGGCAAAGCTCGGGATCAAACCACCATATTGGACCATGCCCACGAGTGACCCCACAAAGGGGCCATTGCACAGCACGTCCCCTGTAGTCAGCCCACCCCACCTCCTTTTCTTTTTCTTGAGATGACATTTTTTCCAGAAGATGGGTTGGTCTTCCTTCCTTTCCTCCTTCCTTCCTACCTTCCTTCCTTTCTTCCTTCACTCATTCATTCATTCCTTCTTGGTAGAGAGCTACTGCTTTTTACATAGAATATAATTCTTCAGCTCCCAGCATTCAGGAGGTTGGGAGTTCTGAGTGGTACCAGGTACTGTGTTCCATTTACTTAGGCAAAAATCTTTGTATGCTGAAGCTGAACTGGCATCCGTTGACACTGCACAGCTTCTGAATGAGACCCAACGTTGCAAACTAAGAGTGGATGTTAGTACTGGAGAGGTCATTTCGTATTATTTCATTTACTGCAAGAAAACAAAAATAGAAGAATTGTTAGGGAAAAGCTACTGTGCAGTAAAAATGTGTAAACATTAAAGAGTTCTGTACACATTCCATAAGGGATGCTCCACCCGTGGAAACCTGTGTCCCAAAAGGAACCGGCATCTCAACTGCTGCCACACATGCTCCTTCGGAATCCTGAGTCGGGCATCTGTCTGCCCAGGACTAGCCACCCAATTAAAGAAGCCACTGTCCTCCAAGCCACCGCCTCAGTGCATGATCACAGGCACAAACTGATCTTTTTGGCCGCAGTGTGTCTCCTCCAGGACAGGAGCTAACATGCCGTCTATGTTTTCTAAGTTTACATGCCCACCCACAAGGACAGAACCCCTCACCGGAGCCTGTGCTCTGGGATTGCTTTTCTAAAGAGAAGAGCCCCACTTCCTTGGCCATGTCACCGCACTGGCAGTGACCAGAGAGCAGCAGGAGGGGGAAGGCCAGAGAGAGGAGCCCATCCCCAGCAGCCGGCCCCCGGCCCTTCCTTCATTCTTCATCTCCCCACAGGCTGTCGGCAGTTTCCCACACTCGGACGAGTCCACTATCAGCTTGTGATTTTTGGCAGATGCACAGGAAGTGACGGAACCTGGAGAGGGCCACCGATGGTGACCTGCACAGCGTCCCTCCCTCTGCCCTCCCACAGCCTGCAGCACCTGATGGCTCTCAGATAGGCAATGTCACCAGGAAGGCTGCCACCACGCCGCATTTTCCTATAGAACTGGGAGGTGGGCGCTCAAGCTCACGTCACGGAACCACTGGTGCCCAGCCGGGGCTGGACGCTGAGCAGATAAGCCTGTGTGTCTCTGCAGAGGCCCCGGCCTGTCTCGGGCTGCTTCCTGGAGTAATTAGCTGGTGGACGTTTCATCACCCACCCCACTCCCTTCCCCAGCCCCTCCCAGCTCCCCCTGACCATTTTTAAGAATAACAATAACAACACGTGGTGGGGAATCAGGAATTGTGTCATGGGAACTGATAACAGACGAGTTAGGAGCCCTGACTGTGAACAAACACCCCACCTCGGCTCTTCCCCTGGAGTGGGTGGCGTGGGCCAGGGCAGGCTTGCCCAGCCTCCCTACTGGACATCTAAATGAAGGCCTCTTGAAAGTGCATCTCACTAACTTAGCACCTGGTTCCTTTCCACTCGGCTAATTCCACCCCCACAGGGCCAGAAGCACCTGGGGAATGGTGGGCTCCAGGCTGTATCCCTCAGAGGAACTGGACTGACGTGGGCGCTCCCAGCAACAGGGGACCCACATACCAGCAGCCTATGTGACTGCGCAGTCCTCGATGATGGCACTGGCCCTAGATATGGAAAACACTGGGAGGAATTCATGCCCAACCTCCTCAGGGTAACTCTTTAAATCCATGGATGAAGATGTCACCAGGCCAAAGTGCCCACAGGTGGTACTCAGTGACGTTTGCACAAACCCACCCCTGGTGCACATCACCGCTCCTTACCACAGGTGTTTCCAGGACACTCAGCTTACGACTCTATGACGGCCACCATGGGGCCCTGAGCTCAGCAGCCAGTGTGCCTGGCAGAGGAGAAAGAAGGAGGCTCTAGAGAAAGGCTGCCTAGAGAAAGGTACCTTAGAGAAAGGAGCCCTGGAGAAAGGTGGCCCTCTAGATAAAGAAATCCTAGAGAAAGGAACCCTAGAGAAAGATGCCCTAGAGAAAGGCAGCACTCTAGAGAAAGGAGTTCTAGAGAAAAGCGTCCTAGAGAAAGGCAGCCTTGAGAAAGTGCTCTACAGAAAGGAGCCTCAGAGAAAGGAGTTCTAGAGAAAGGCGCCCTAGAGAAAGGAAATCTAGAGAAAGGCACTGTATGAAAGGCACCCTACAGAAAGGCGCTCTAGAGAAAGGAGCTCTAGAGAAAGGCGGCCCTGGAGAAAGGCGCTCTAGAGAAAGGAGCTCTAGACAAAGGAGTTCTAGAGAAAGTCACCCTAGAGAAAGGAAACCTAGAGAAAGGCGGTCTATGAAAGGCGCCCTACAGAAAGGCGCTCTAGAGAAAGGAGCCCTAGAGAAATGAGGCCTGGAGAAAGGAGCCCTAGCAAAAGGCGCTCTAGAGAAAGGAGGCCCTGAAGAAAGGCGCTCTACAGAAAGGAGTTCTAGAGAAAGTCACCCTAGAGAAAGGCAGCTCTTCTTTTCCCGCACAGGACACTTGAAAGCCACACCATCTTTCTCTCATTCTCTCTGTTCCTTGCTACTGTCACACTGCAGCGAGACAAGAATGCACTAAACACTAGAGGTGCAGGACTTGATTATCTACCCTTCTCTTCCCACTTCACTTGTTTAGACTCTTGTTAAGAGGCACATGTCCAATTCCTATTTTACAGAACACTGCCACATCAAAACACTTTCTGAGGTAAAGCAAAATCCCACATCTTGAGTCCCAATAGGGTATTTTCTAAGTAAGGAAAAGTCTTTCCGGCAATTAGGACTTCTCTGACCCAAGTCAAGAGGGTCTAACATACTGAAGGAAGAGGCACAGATCATTTGTGAAAAGACTGCTCCTTTGGCGATGATGTGAAAGTGACCAGTTACAATTACAACAGCTTACGCTGTAGAGCACACTGTTGTTTGGGTAGCACTTTACAGTTTGCACACCGCTTTCCTGGTCGCCCTCTCATGTTATCTGAGAACCGCTCCTTTGCATGGGCACAGCAGGGGTCAGGGTCACTGTGGAGCTGACACACATCCTAGTTGCTGGTTTCTGGGCTGATGCCCCCCAGGAAGCAAGAGCTCCCATGGACCCAGCAGCTGTGGGGGCACTGAAGGCTGGGGACACGCAGCCACTGAGGCCCTAGAGCAGGCAAGGCTGCATGCGTCTGGGGTCATTTAAAATGCTACACCAGTCAGAGGACAGTGCGGTGGGATTTTGTGGCTCCTTTCAATTGTGCTACTTAAGGAATTCTGTGTCTATTTCCATCTGATTTTTAAGGACAACTGAACATGGGGTCAGGGTTTGACCCCAGTGAGGCGAGCAGTGGGGATGGAAGGAGGTGGGGACAATGAAGATGGGGAGTCAGGAGGGGGCAGCAGGGCCACAGGTGAGCGACTTGGACCTTCAAGTTGCTCAGTGGCACACACACAGCAGGAAAAAATAACATCTGTGTGAAAAGATAAAAGGGGAAGGAACCTCAACGTGGGCTTCCCCTTGCAGCCCACTGGTGCACCTGAGCCTCAGGGGGAGCCCGGGTGGGTGGGACAGGAAATCGCTCACTGTGTCGATGTGTCCAGGACCCCACACCAGAGTCATGTGTCCCGTCGCATGGCTCCTCTGTGCCCAAGCTGACTCGACTCCTTGTCTGGGTTTCCACCAAGGACCTTGGGGAGCTGGAGGGGCCGAGGGGCAGAGCTCACACCTATCAGTTCTGACTGGAGGGGCTGCAGGGCAGAGCTCACAACCATCAGGTCTTACTAGAGGGGCCACGGGGAGCAGAGCTCATGGAGGGACCAATGACATCCCACATAACTGTCTCCAAAACTGATGACGTCCCATATAACTGTGTCCACACCGATGTAATCCCACATTCCCGTCTACGCAGCTGAAGATGGTATAACGCTTGAGACCTTACTCTTCCTTAGATACACTTTGTGCTGTTCTCTGTGAGAAAAGCTAAGCGCTCACACCTCATGGATGGAGTAAGAAAGAACATGTAGCTGAAGGGCTGAGCTATGGCTGCCATTCACTGTCGGCCGGGTCGAGAACGACATGTGTGAACCTCCGCCCATCTCTTCTCGGCCACGACTGCCCACTTCCCTTCCATTAGGCGATGGGTGAGTCCCACCAGCACCCAGCTTCACTGGGCCTCTCTCCTGCTCCTCTGGGGGTGGCCCTGCTCCGTGCGGTTGTACCCAGGTCGCCCACGCTCCCGCCACGTCCTCTCTCACTGACACTTCCCATCTTCTGATTCAGCTTTTCCACTGACACAGGTTTTTTCTTTGCAGAATATTTTGAACTGCAGGTAACCTGTGACACTCTCCTTGTCAGAGACCCAGAGAGGAACCGTCCTCTGTCTCTGCTTCACATCAGATGTCCCTGCGGCAGGATGTGGTAAGCTGTTAGACCACAATTTAATTTAATAAGAAAGGTTTTTTCCCTTATATTTAATTTTTCTCTAAAATCCTCCTAAGGTGGAAACTATTGTTTTTTTTCTAAACTTCTGTGTGGCGGTTTGAATCCCTGCTTTAATTGGGGGTGTGCACACAGGATGTGTGTGTATGTGTGTATGTGTATATACATACGTATGCATGTACTCCCACCCAGACACACACATCCATAAACCCCTCTGGAATTGAATGAAATAGGAAATTCGTATGTTTTTAAAACATAAAAACTGCAAAAGAGAAAGTACAAGCACGGCTGTGTACTGGTCTTACGTTACTCATAAATACCAACTATATTTTTGCTAATGTGACATGAACGTTTTTTCTCTATCCACAAATGAATGGTGCAGACCCATTAGAGAGTGAAAGATCCTTTTTAGAGTAAAATATTTGTACTTTCATATAACCAGTTTCTTCTTTCTAAAGCACCATTTTGAAAAAAAGTTGACATTAAACTCTCGTGAAACAGACAGAGTTCACCTCTGAGGTTTCACTCATGGGTTTTTGTATGACTGTATTGAGAACCCACCACTTGCCTGTCAGTTTGTCGTACTGTGGTAGCTTGTGTGTTGGTGTGATGCTGGAAGCTCTGCCACCAGTATTTCAAATACCAACAGGGTCACCCATCGTGGGCAGGTTTCAGCGGAGCTTCCAGACTAAGACAGATTAGGAAGAAAGGCCTAGTGATCTACTTCTAAAGAAGCTGGCCAGAGAAAACCTTATGAACAGCGGCAGAACACTGTCTGATATTGTGCCAGAAGATGAGTCCCTCAGGTTGGACAATGAGCTCAAACATAGCAACGATTGTAAGGATGCTGCAGGACCGGGCAGTGTTTTGTTCTGTTGTACATGGGGTCGCTAC